ATGCACGCGAGTATGCACAGACCGCTCTACCAAGACGGCAAATAACATGCAGATAAATACACGAGTATTTTCTCACGCATTTTCAGTATTCTGTACCGTACCGTGTGTGTGCAGTGCCATTGTTCTCTCACAGTGCTCGCTCGGACACATGCAGCTTCTACTTCTTTCTCATTACTATTATTATTATTTTTAATTAAAAAGTCTGAAATAAAAAAAAAAAAAAAAGAACAAGAAAAAAGAATTGCTTAGTCCAGTTAAATACCAACCGGAGTCTGGGAACGTACAATTTCAGCACAGTGAATGGTGATTCAGACCCTGGCAGTGTTTTGGCTATGAGACAATTCCTACTTATAAAGAGCACAATGAGGTGGGGAGATAGCATTAATTTTAAGGAAGATTAATATTAGTCTTTTTAATGATCATGGCTCTGCGAAGAAAAGAATCCTTTAGCTGCTGAGAGCTGTTGTGCCCTTCCCACTAGTATTTATTCAAGCAAAGGAAAAAATGAAGAAGGCGTAGAATAAACTAAGTCTGTTCAAGAATTACTGGCATTATTTCTCCTTGCATCACGTGTGAGCTGGATTGCCTGCTATTCCTGAGGCAGAGGATTGAGGATGAAAGTCTGTGTGTCAGAGCCTGTTTTCACAACTGCATTTGGAGATCCGTCTTATTGATTAGGAAAAAAAGGGGGTGGGAATAGGAGTGTGAGGTGAGGGGAGGACCGACCGACTACTGGCTTATTGCAGCTCAAGACATTTTCTTCCGGAAAGATGTCAAACAACTGAGACACAGCAACAGAGGAAGTAGAAAGGTGGAAAAATAAGAAGAGGGACCCTTTGGAAGAAATGAAGGCATTCCTTATGAGAGCCTTGAGGCTTTTTTTTCTTCTAACATCTGACCCACAAGGGCTAGAGTGACAGCGTCATGCAAATACTGCAGTCCAGCAGGTCTGAGAGAGGGTGGATGCTAGACAGTGAGTTAATGTTAATGATGAGTGCAGTGAAAATACCAGCCGATACCACCCCCTCCACACACAACTGCTCTGAGTCAGCATCCGCCGCTTTGCCTTGCCTTTTTGTGCGTGCGTGTGTGTGTGTGCATGTGCGCGCGCATGTGGATGTGTGTGTGTGCGAGTGTTGGTGACCGTGTGTGTGTGTGCACGGGAGGTAAAGCCAGTCAGTCAGTGAGAAGCAAAGGTACGTTTGAGAGCAACTAAAATCTGACTGATTTCCATCTTCAGAGCATCAGATGAATTCCCTAAAGAGGATGGGTCTATGCGATGGGGGTGGTATAATTATGTTAATGTCATATTTATAGAGGGGAGAGATTTTTCATTCTAATTATTGATTTGAAAGCTGCGGTCAAAATTGTTTGTTAAATCATGATCAGCTTGCAAGAAAGAAAGAAACGGAATGAAATGCAGGGACTGCTATACATATATATCTCTCATATATATATATATATATCTTGTTTCGTTTAACTATTTTGTGTCTGAGGCATAACTGATTGAACGCTGCACAGTGACAAAGGAACGGCTCTTATGTAATATTGCATTCTGTCATCTACTGAAATATTTTAAATAAGCCAAAATGTTCTGAAATCTGAGGTAGCCTTCTGGAGGGGAGAGTGAAGGGCAGGGTGGGGGTGGAGGGCACTGGCAAATCTTTTCTTCAGCAGCGCTCTCTGTGCAGCTTTCTTGTAAATGGATGATTCACCTGTTCGACCAGCAGAGATTCTAATTCTTCCCCCCCTTCTTCTCTTTTTTCCTTTTTAAAGCTGAACGGCTTCCCGAAGAGCACTGAGTTTTCTATACCAGATTCTGCTCCAGTGGCTAGGACCTTTATGGCTGCTGTTTCTTTTGCTCTGGGCTCTGATGGAAGAAAAAAAAAAAAAAAAAAAAAAAGCCACCGTGGATCCTGTCCCTAAAGTAGAAATTTTCTTTTTCCTTCTGCAAACAAGGCTAAAGATCGGAGGAGAATGAATACGAAAGTAATTTGGGATCGTGGTCGTGCCATTAAAAGTGTTCGGCTTCAGAAAGAAATTGTTTGGGAAATCCGATTATTTCTTCTCACAGTATCGACAGTATTTGAAAGTTGTGTGTTCTTTGAGTAATCTGGTGCAAGTGACAACAATCTCCGCATGTCAGTGTTTTCTACAGTTTATGGAGCGAAAGCTCGCTTTGCCATTGAAAGGAAGAAGCTTTTGCTAACAGTCTGTAGAAGGATTAAATGTTGAACGTGGGGAAGAGGCAAAAAGTGAATACACGCCCAGATGTTATCCTTGCATCGAGAGGGGCTCTAAAGTACTCTGTAACCTAGGGCCCACCTGAATAGGAGGACTGAAAGTATAAAGGCGAAATATTGCAATTAGAAACCCCTTCACATGCATTTAATCCTTCTTTAAGGCATTAAAGGAAATAGAATCAAATCGTTACTATATGAATCTGCTGGAAGAAGCAGGTTTTAACCCATTTTTAGATGCTTCCTTTCGACGCATTGTAATATGGCTACTTGTGAGTCAAAGCAGTGAAGATTTTTGCTGTGCTCTTTCTTTTTGCTTTCAAAAGTTAAGGACTGTAAGGAAAGTCTGTTCAGTCAGCTGATACATTGTCTTGAATGTATGTATGTGTCTTGCCTGCTTATTTGATCTTTTCTGCCCCCTACGTGAAAGTGCCTTGTGTGGGTGGGAGGAGGGGTTGCTGATTGGGGTGGGGGGAGCGGGGGGGGGTGGTTGCTTTTTGTTTTGGTTTTGGTTTGGTGTTGCTGTGTGTTGTTTTTGTTTTTTGTTTTGTTTTGTTTTGTTTTGTTTTTACATTAGCAGTGAAAGTTTTACTGACAGCAATTATGACTACTAAGCAATTCAGATTATTGGAAGACGAATTCTACTGGATCATATCAGACTTTTCCTAGTCCCTGAGACCCTAACTTGTGAGGTTTTGTAGCAACAATCACAAGTCAGGCTCTTGGGACCTAGGCGGAGGGGAACCAGCAGCTTTGGACTATGATTGTTTCTCTGCAGAATTTAGAGAGCCAAAGGAGCTTTCTTTGTCTGGAAGGGAAAAAGGAGAATACAAGTTTCTTAATATATTGGAAAATATAACAAATGTTAAGCAGCAGACCTGTTCCTAAAAGAAAAAAAGCTGTTATCCTTCATGCAGCTTTAGCATGCTAGCTTTTTGTGTTTAGAAAACTGGACTAGATGCCATGTAACATTTAGTATTAAAATTTAAACTGAATGCCAGTTCATATCTCAAAAAAGAACCAAGAGAATAACAACAAAAAAATAAAAAACAAACAAAGGGAAAAGAAGAAAAAGCACTAACCCACCAGGTACTAAAATATACCAAAGGTTTTCAACCATAACATAACATTATCATTACACACATTTCTGGTAGATAATTACCACAAAGTGTATTTTCAGCTGCATTGCTACAGCGCTTAATTAACTTTTAAAACATAAAGCACAAATGCTGATGTTTGAGGCCTAGAAAGCATTCATTCTTTTAATTTTTGAGCAATGCTTTCAGTCTACAGGAAAACTGTTGCTTAGCTTTTCCTGTAATAGGGGACAAAGCCAGTTTTATAGTTAGTTGGCATTATTTTTCTTTGTCTAAGTGAGGACAATATCACATTTAAAAATACTGTCTCGGTTTAAATTTTAATCTGATGGAGAACATTAGTGTAAAAATCATACTACAGCGTTAATATCACTTCACTCACAGAATCACATTCTGTGTACCTCTTAAATTTACATGGAGCTGGCAGCACTCTGAGAATCGAACTCAGCCTCAACTCAAAGCCTTTTGCATTTTTTCTCCCACTGCCAACAGCAGACTGTGTTTTAGGTTGTCCCCAGTATGCTAAGTACTTCACTGACTTTGCATGGGAAGATTTACAGGGGCATGAGTTGTTCTGCACCATTCATTGCTCTTAAACTTCTGATCCGTCATGCATACTTAGATTTGTATTTCTTAACATTTTGTAGGTGGGTTAGTTCTAATTCATTTTTCTCTGTTTCCTGTGCCTAAACCAAGATGCTGCAGGACCTTGTTGATACATCAGACTTCACTGAGACAAAGGCTTCATACAGATCAGGCATCCAAACTATTTGTTCATTTCAGAAGTGGTATTTTGGCTGCAGTGTTTTTTTTCCACTTGTGTGGGAGGAATTGTGTTTTACTGTAAGCGTCAATACTTTTGTTAAAATAAATTGTTCTTATCTGTTAGTGTAATACTTTTTCTTGTTGTCCTGTTTTATTAAGAGACAGAAACTATGCGCTGTACATATCTTTCAAGTTGCTCAAGGTATAATTAGTGCTTAAATAGTCATAAAAATATTGTCTTACCAATTATAATGATGATACAGTTCCTGTAAAGATGCAGTTCTTTTCATCATAAACTGCCAATCGCACATACTCAGAACACTCAAAAGAGCTACTTGTAAACATTCAGTCATGGAGGTAATTTCTTTTTACGCAGATGTGTTATTGAACACCACTGACTTCTATTCAGATGATATTAGAGAAGTTGATGTGAATTTGTATGTGAAAAACTAATTCACTCAGATAGGTGCTGTGCCAAGGAAGCAGTTTGGTAGCAGCTGACATGTGTTATGTGTAATACTCATAGTTTTCAGTCCTGAAAAGGGTGCATTTAAGGCACTGCTCAGGTGAATACATTCTGATCATTCAAGCTACATAATGAGATAAAACTATAATGTGGGTAGGTATATGCATGTTGGTAAACAGTTTAAATTATGCATGTAATTTATCAAAATAAAAATCCTAATATATTTAATCAGAGATACCGTGCACACATCTGTACCATATGAAAGACTGTGGATTGCATTTATTTTTGAGTCAGCAAAATGTACGTGAATGTTCATAGTTCATATTCGGTATTCATTTTGGTTTAATATTCTGTGTATAAGGCATGTGAAACTATAGTATGAAATGTCCATTTCTATCAGTGTGAAGATTTCAAGTACTTTTTTCTCTGCAGTGAGAATGAAAATGAAATGAACCATGAGAAACTCCTACCTGTCTTATTTGGAGCTACAGCAAAAGCTGTGAATACACAGTACTGCCTCTGCATCACTGCTTGAACTGGGATAGCTCTGGTGCCTCCTCTCTGCCCACAGTACTCACTGCTGCCCCTTGCCATAGAGATGAAGAAGATGGTGCGCTGCCTTCCTTTTTACCTCCTCCCTCTTTTTCCCCAGTTTCAACACAGCAAAATCAACCTGTAGTGTACATTAAAATCCTTGTGATGGGGCAGAGGTGGATGGAAGGGAGGAAGAAACTGAGCCTTTGATGGGGCAGAATTGCCACCGTGATTACCACAGCATTTCCCCAGCCCACGACTATGTGACAGTGCCTGCAGACACCTCACAAAAAGCTGTCTTATTTACACTTAATCAGTGTATGAAAGCTGTATCTATTAGTGCAAATAAATGGAAACATCACTGGTAGGCTATATGTGCAGAATTTTAATATACTCCCGTTTCTATATGACTTTTTGCTCTTCCAGTACAAAATGCTTCTAAATGCTACTTAATATGTGATTTCAGAGTAATCAGCTTGTGCTACAACAAAAACAAAAAACCAAAACACAAGCTCTTGCAAAGGGGAGAGAGCGTGAGGGGGAGAGAGGGAGAGAGAGAGTGAAAATGATGTGTGGTGCATACAAAAAAGGAATGATATTAACAATTCGATGAATTCCTAGTTGGTAGACCAGACTGAGCCAGACGCATATATTAACGGCTGTCTGCTGCTGATGTGAGCTTGCTCAATGCAGTGGAAATGAAGGATCACCTAGTCTCTGACACCAGCTTATTTGTACGTTTTAATTTTAAAAAGGAAAATCACTGTTTTACATAAACATCTTAACCCCTGCATGATTTTCTTTCTTTTTTCCTCCCTCATATTGTTTGCTAATTTACTGTCAACTTAAAGTGCTGTTTAGCTGCAGCCCAACAAAACATCAGTCAAAAAAGAGAAAGAAGTATTAGCTTCTCTTTTGTCTGCCATGTACAACTGGGTTATTATTATGATAATTGTCTACTTTAATTTTTAGTCTTCATGAGAGATGCAACAATTTTCCAGAACTTCATCTCTCAAGCATTTCAAGTTTTAACAAGATACTGTTTCATTTTAAACCTAAGCCAGAAAAATCCTTTACAGCTCAGGCTAGGGTGATTCGATCAATACTTTTCTTTAACCCGAAAATCTTTAGTGCCTTAATAAAATATTACGTTTATGGGATAGAATTTCTATTCAAACTATATAAACACTAGGAGCCATTAATATAATGTTGAAGACTGCTACATGAGTCAGGGGAATTCCAATCCAAGTTAATTACTGCTGGAATTAGAGGAACGAATATTTTACTCAAAGTTGTACAACAAGAGTCTACAATTATCACATTTCAGAGCATTGCTATACACACTTGATGAAAAATGTCAATGAAATTTAACATAAGATGTTACACATTTCCATGGGTAATGAAAATCAGCACATTCACTATTAGCTAACACAACATTTTTTTTTTTTTTTGGGTGTGTTAATATGCACTGCAGCAAAAATTTCTGTAGGCAGCAATTGTAGCCATCATTTTGATTTGCCCATATGATGATTATGCTCAGTTCTTGACTAGATAGTTAATTTTACACCGAAATGCAGCCATCTCTGCGCAGGAACCATCTGTGGTACACAAAAGAAAAATAAAAAAAATAAAGGAAAAAGAAAGATCCACTGTCTAGGCTAACTAGGTAGTCATACAGAGATGTGTAACAGAAAAAATATCTGGAATCCTATAAAAATGCCAGCTGGAGCTGTATCGCTCACAAAATAGATTATTTTTTTTTTTCTGTTCAAGTATTTTTATCCCATGTAAACAAAATGTTCATCACCTCGTTTTGCCTTCCCTGATACTTACCATAGGTCATCTTCAGAGTTTGTTGAGTGCTACATCATTCCACTCCCCAGCGCCATCAGAGTTATTCTTACCCAATGAGTTATATTCTTAATGGCACCTAACTGTATTAATTTTTGTGCTAAGCTATGTTTTGCTTACAGTGCCTGCGTTACAACAGGTGGGTCGACTATGGAATCCTATGAGAGTAAGTGAACATATGATTGTTAAGATCAACAATGCTAAAATGATTTTATCTTTATAAACATTTTTAATCTAATAAGTAGGATTTAAAATAAATCAGAGAATCATCCAGTTGATTATACAATAAAGTTTATCTGGTTGGCTTTTGCGATTGCTATCGTTACTCCTGTTCTTGCTTATTTAGGAATTAAGGATTACTTAGTAATTGCACAGTAAACTAGATAAGAAAATGATCACTTGAATAACACAGAGGAAAAGACAGATAATATTCTGTACTTTTCTTCTACTTTTGAGTTGTTATGAGCAGGTTCTGATTTTTTGCTAGGGACACATATTTATTTAAGTGGCCATGCAAACCTGCAAGATTGTACTGAGCGGTTTAAGGCTGGTAATTTGGGCAATGGTTTTGGGGACATTTTCTTGCACCACCCCCACCCCCAGCCTCTTTTCTTGGATGTGTGCGTGTTGTGCATGGGAAGGTATGAAGGAAAAACAGCTATTCAGCAGAGACATGTACCACCCCTTTAATTAAGCTTTTCCTGGACTGTAAAAACACTGGCAATGTGTAAATCCCATTTGGCGGGTTGTTGCTTTTTTTGTTTTGTTTTATATTGTGTGTTTTTTTTCTTGCGTTTATTTATTTTAACAGAATCCGAAGTATTATATTAAGAAACCTTAGTGATGAAATACAAATGAAAATAGTTCCACTAGTAAGTCACTGGGTACTGAAAGGGTTGGCTAGCATCGGCACAGAGCCAATTGGAAGATTTTTTTTTCATTTAATTCCTTTCACCTAGTAGGCTCCTTAAGCATTAGGCAGAACCCAGTATGTGGCTAAGTTATTGCTCTACTGTTCATCACACAAAAAGCACAGTCTTAGCATTTGTAGATTTTCTTCTGGGAGGTTTCTAATCTAGACAGCATTTGCGTTTGGGGATTACACCACAGTCTGTTCCCCACCACCTCCCCCTCTAACATGTAGCCCTTTCAACTTCTTCAAAGAAGTGGCGAAAAGTAGGTTCTTTTATTAATAGCAGAAAACAAACCGACTGCTGGACTTCCGTGGCAGAGCTCACATAATGCACCAGGGTGGGAACTGTAACAAAGAATGCTTGAATGCACTAAACGTATAGTGAAACCCCATTTACATTCACTGATGGAGCTTAAAGTACAATAAACGAGAAGTTTAAAGTAGAAATAAGCAGGACCATGAAAAGAGTTCAGTGAAGGTAGATACTTCTTGAAAAGTTTAGCACAGGATTTAATTTCCAGCTCAAGCCTTTCCTAGCAGAATGCATTTCTTCATAATGCTTCCCTTTTCAGAAAGCACCTCCATCAGATGAAGGTAAATCAGATGAAGAGAGTATCTTCAATGCATAAATAAGTAAATTCTTTTTATCCGATTTATATACTGATTTTCACACCAGTGAGACAGTTAGCAGTGGAACAGTCTTCATGGTTCACTGTCTATTCTGCACTCTCTACAAAATGCCTTTGATGTGAAGGAAACAACTTTGTGCATAGAAATAAGTTTGCTTGTGGGATCCTCCTGTGATTTCTAAGTCTCTCTCCTTCTAAATTTTATGTGTACATGGTAGAATTGGATGAGCTAATTGTTTTTCTGCCAGGGGTTATTCTGTGAGATAGAACTGCAATATTCCTAGTTACAGGCCATTACACTGGGCAGCTGCCCCCTCTCACCTTCTCATCCTCCATAATGACCATCTCTTTGTTTTAGTCCTTCTACGGCTGTAGTATAAGGTCCTACAGGATGCTAGCTCCCTTCTTCCAGGAGTTTGAATCAGCTAGGCTTCCACTTCTTGTCATTATGTGTCTCCGTGGTAGTTCTTCACCTTCAAAATTAAACGCATTTAAATTGTCCCTAACTGTAAGTTTTAACAGAATCTGTGTCCCCTCCCTCATCCCTGTTAAGAAAAGTCAGGGATAATATATTTGCTTAATAGTTACCGTCCTCCACATGAACTTCTTAATCATTGTCTTCCCAAGAATGGCAGGATAGCTGCAGCATCCACACGGCTGAACAGAGGATGATTTGTAAAACAGGTTTAATAGCAGTAATGTGGGGGTGAGGATATGTGAAATGACTTTCTGCACCTTTCTCCAGCACAGGTAGCTTCTGCTTGTGATGTGATTAAGTATTTGCCACGGAACAATTATTTGCCACTAGCATTTAGCTGGGTTAACATTTTCAACAATTTTGGGGATCCTGCTCCACTCTGGGCAGAGAGCAGACATGCAGCCCTCTGCTCTACAAATCCTTGATGTGGGCTGCCCTTGCTGGCCATGGACCCTGAGCTGACGGGAAGGCAGGCAGTGGATCACCCTCTGTATTTGTGCAGGCCCAGAGTGGTGCTGGCCTCAGCAGTGATCCAGCCTGCCCTGCAAAATGGCCGGGGCAGCCATTTTGTGCCTGGATTTACAGCTTTTCCCTGAGGGTGGAGGGTTCATCTCTCTGTTAGGAAGATTTCTCACAAGGCTGAAGATTCACAGCACTTACAGTAATGTATTTATATACACACTGGAGTATTCAGTAACTTAGACTGACTGTTACTTTGTAGATAAACCTGGGAGGTACTGCTCCTCTAGTGTTTATTATGTCAGCATATTATTTTGGATATTAATTCTTTCAAACGTGCCTCATACTGAAATAGAGGAATATGGTCGAGATATTACTGTTTTAGGAGTCATTGGAGGATCCGATTCTAAAAAAAAATGGACAAACGTTTAAAGGCAAGACTGCTTACCAACGTGGTGCTGGAAGCCTCTCGCACTGACTCACAGGGTTAGGGGTTCTTGTGGGTGTTGCCGGTATCTTGGTATTGCACTTTGGTAGGTTTTTATGAGTTAATAAATTCCGAAGACTGCAGTTTGGCTTTCTAAAATTTGGTAATCATTCCTTAAATGCTAGTGGGAAATCAAAATTACTACATGCAATAACTAAAACTTTTTTAAAACCCTTCAAATGTTTTCCAAACTGCTGCCTACGTGTTCTTCTTCCCTACACCAATGGCCAAAGATTCCGAGTCACTTTCTGGCACCCAGCAAGAACACAGTCAATTCTCTTAAGCTCCATTTCAGAGAGCAAACCTTTCCTTTTTTTTCTTTTTTTTTTTCCCTGAAACACTGCCTGTGCAAACCCAGGGCCATTTTGCATGGGGATTGCTGCTAATAGGGAGCACAGCAGTGAGCACAGGGGTTCCTGAACTTTCATTAGAGTTCTGAGGCTGCAGTATAATGCAAATAACAATAGAGAAATGGTCAGTGATCAGTGCGTTATTTTTTCCTTTGAGTGTTTGCACTAACTATGCCTGGGAAGGCAAGGGTGCACATTTTAACAAATTATGAGATCTCATATCCTAATGTTCATTTAATTTTTATTGAGACTTAACATAGTTTGGCATCCACATTTACTTATTTTGTTGATTAATATCTTTGAATGATTTTCTGCAATAGCAAGTAGCAAAATGAATGTAGTAGCTCAAGATTACCAAGATAAGAATTTTTCTGAAATGTTTATAGACTGTATGGTAGAAATCATGTTCTGTATGATTTGGCTATACCCAAAAAAGGCCTGCATCTGACAATCCAGCTCAGATTATGAAATGGCAGCAGACTTTAACATCCGCAGGTGTCTTTTTAGTGGATTTGCAGACTCTCCTGCCACATGGCAGAACTTGTGCCTGAATGCCATCCTATAATCTGTCCCATCTACCGTTTACTCAAGTATAAAACATAGTACGGCACAAGGTTTGCACCTTACATTCACTATGCAAAGAAGACAACCAGACAGCTCCTATTTCTTTCCTTCCCTCTTTTTTTTTAACCTTATCTCCTCCACTGCATCTCCCACACATAGTAGAAATATCATGTCTGCTGCCAAGGCAAACTCAATCATCTAGTCTGACTTCCTCCATAAAACATGCAAAACCAAAATTCACCAAGCAACTCCCACATCAACACCAACAATTTCTATTTGGTTTGCATGTATATTTTAGGATTCAGAATTACAAAGAATCTATAACCTCCTGAGGAATAGTGTCCCATTAGTCTATTAATTTGTTATTAAAAAAATTATGCTTCCAGCTACTGATTTTTTTTCATGATAATTTAAATGGTCATTTGCTATCAATCACCTCTTAGCTTTTTCATTGTTAAGCTAATGAGATTGTCTTCAGTTCCTTACTGGAAGATACATTTTTGGAAAGATTGAATAATGTTGCTAATTCTTTTTTTTTTTTTTTTTTTTTTTTTTTGTAAACTCTTCTCAGTTTGCTCAGTTTGTCAGTGTCCTCTGCAAGTACTAGTAGCAGGACCAGATATCCAGTGTCAGGATGGTATAATTTGGTGCGCTAGTAATTCCTCTTTTCTTTTAGCTGACTTTCTTACCCATATACTGTATTTTCTCTTTCATTCCACTATACTGAGACTGCAACTGTAGCTGAAGATAAAGAGAGAAGTAGATTTGAAAAAGGCTTGTCTGAGCTACTTGAAGGTACATCATTCCAATTGAAATTAGTAGGAGTTTAGCATCTTAACTATTGGTACTTCTTACGTTTATGCAAGCTGATTTTCATACCAATGAGAGAACTAACAGAATTAGCTCAGCAGTGTTTATTCAAGTAACAGCCAAGTAACTTTTAACTTCCAGTATTTTACTTATTTAATAAATTGTGTTTAATTTTAAAAGGAAATTACAAGTGTACTATTCTTGCTATCTGAAAACTTCCTTAGTTTAAGCATTTTCTTTCTTCTAGTATACTTGAATTACAGAAATAGATTATACAGATGGATTAAAACATATCCATGTGCTGAAAGCAGGCAGTCAGTCTTACATTTCACAGGTATTCATCCAAATAGCTAAGATACAGTTAGCTAGAGGATTATTTTTTATGTGTTTCTCCCAAGTCCTGTAGCCTACTCCCTTTACGATGCTTATTTGTGTGATCTCAGTAAATCTTCAAGCCTATCTGCTTTATCATTTCT